CTTTGGGACCAACTTTGGGATGAATTCTGGGCCGACCTCTGGGTCGACCGCCAGTCCCCGTAATGTGCGCTAACATTCTTTTAATACTCGTTTCGTGTTTATTATTATCATCGGTTAGACCACTGTTCGTGTCTATCATTTCACGTCTAATATCACTACTTTTGGACAATAGATCTGCGCCTAAAAAACAATAGTTAAACGAAATTAGCAATGATTAAGACTTGGATTAAAAGCCAAATTACCAAAAATAAATCCATTATCATTGGAATTATCCACCACTTCATTGACCACAGAATTGAATTCGAGTCGATTCTCGTTTGATTGCAGTTCTTGTTTAACAGAGTCAACAGAAATGTGTTCATCAATTGTGTGCAAAACTGTCGTACATTCATTGGACACCTCTTCGTTCATTTCAACACAATTATCACCACTAATTGGTTCAGTTTTAATCGCAATTTCATTGGTATCACAGTTGATCTCAAGTGGTAGACGAGTACTTTTTGGCACAGCAATGGGGATATACAGACTCTTCAGTTGTATATCCTCTTCATTAATGGGAGAAATATCACTGAAAACGCGTCCATCACTTTCGTTGCGTCCGTCGCTCGCAATTGACTTCTCATGAGTATTGGCACAGCAATGGGGATATACAGACTCTTCAGTTGTATATCCTCTTCATTAATGGGAGAAATATCACTGAAAACGCGTCCATCACTTTCGTTGCGTCCGTCGCTCGCAATTGACTTCTCATGAGTACTGTCCACAAAATTATCATCTCTTATTGTGTGCGGTGTTTTGCGCTTACTTTTAACCGCAATCTTATTGTTTTCGCAGTTGGTCTCAAGTGGATCAGCAGTTTGTGGAAGAGATAGCAAGAGGGCGAGCAGTTGCTGCACGTCGTGACCATTATTACTAGAGTTATCGGCGGAAACACTTCCGTCGCTTTCATTTAAACAGTTGCTCTCACTTGGCTTTTGGGCACTTTTTACCACACAATTATCACCACTAATTGGGTCCGCTTTGGCCACAGTATCGTCGATACGAGCGCTAATCATATCAATAGGTGGTGCCGTGTGTTGGCGCCGATGCTCGTCAAACGCCTCACTATCGGTGCACTCGAAATAGCAGTTCATTTGGTCGCAGATATAAATCTTGGAAACCGTGCAATAGATTTGATGCTCCAGTCGTTCGGCGAGTGTCTCAAATCGGGCCAAACATAGGTCACAGTAGAGTGCCTTCGGGTGACAATTGCGGTGATGCGTCTCGAAGTATGACTTGGAGTCTGTGGCGAATACATTGGAACCAATGCAGTACTCGCACCGGTAGGTCAGAGGCCTCGACGGCCACTTTCTAGCGCTTTCCGTGCGGTTCAACTGAGCCCCAGATCCCGATGTATTGGATGCCAGGACTTTCGTGTCGTCTTTTTGAAGCAATGAATTCAGTAAAAGACTGCCTAAAGAGGAAGAATACAATTGTTTCAAATATTTATACAAATTATTTAATCTTGAAATGAATACCAAAAACAAATGTGTCGTCTTTTTTAGGCTCATTTGATTCAATGGTTGAGCTGTTAATGTGTGCCGAAACTGATTTACCACTAAATGATTGTTTATCGGGAATCGCTGTGATGTTAGTCTCGACCAACGCTTCACCCGAACAGTAGTCAAGAGTTTCCATACATAATAAGTTATCATTACGGGTACTGTTGGCCGCACGCGGGCTAACACTACCACACACTTCAGCTACAGATTCACACGTCAACTGGCCTTTCGTTTTATTAAACAAAACATAGGGCCCGACGTGTTTGAGGTCTCTCTNTTCTCATTACGGGTACTGTTGGCCGCACGCGGGCTAACACTACCACACACTTCAGCTACAGATTCACACGTCAACTGGCCTTTCGTTTTATTAAACAAAACATAGGGCCCGACGTGTTTGAGGTCTCTCTTGTGGTCATTAATACCACGTAAAGAAATGCTCTCAAATCCGCAGCCATCGGATCCGCACTTAAACCAATACTTGCGTCCATTGAGTTTGTGAACTGAGTCCAAATGGCGGCCAACCAAACGCTGGTCCCTAAACACGTCGCCACAGATCTCGCATTTGAACGCATATTCAGACCAATCGTCAAAAAGAGGGGTGTGTTTGGCGCCGACATGTCTCGCGAGTTCCGACGGACACCTATAAGTGGCGCCACAGTCGCGATAGTGGCACCGATAGCTGTCCCGAACGCGCATCGGTTCCAATGGTTTGGCTGTTAAACAGATAATTCATTAAAAACATCAGTCTTTGTGTCTTAAGTGGCAAAACAATTGTCTCACATCTATGCGCGCAAATCACGTGAGCGTTCAATCGATGCATTAGATGAAAACATTTGTGGCATTTCTCGCATTTGTAAAGTATGCGCCTCTTCTTCGTGTCTGTCGTGTGGATCCAATTGGTGATCAGTTATTGATTTTAATAATTAAATAACGTTATCATTTGCAGTACACATACTGTGGTAACGAAGAACGTGTTGATTGTAAGCGTAAAATGTGGTGCATTTGAACGAACACTTATTGCACTGAAGATCGGAACCGATTGAATGCATCGACAGCTTATGGCGTTTGATGTCCACAGCGCTGATGGACTGGTAATCGCAGCCATCGATCGGACACTTTCGCACCGCAACTGAAAACACACGCAAATGTTTACATAATTTACGCAAAATGTAACCAAAAATAAATCAATTCAAACCACTGATCCGTTTGTCACACTTCTGGAGATGAGACCTAATCATTGTCTCGTCGATGGGTTGCCGACAGCGGTAGCACTCAGTGGTGTGGACTCGGCGTACGTGACGCTTAAGATTGCGTTGATATCTGGTCTGAAAGTTACAGTCGCCGTAACCGCACGTATACCGCAATGGATCCGCTTTTGGTGATGCTATGGATGTAAACAAAAAGATAAATCAATAGCAAAGATGTCACGTGTTTTTCGTGGCCAACGATTTACCGCAATCATTGTCGTCGACCTCTTCGTCGGCGATCACGTGTTTGTATTGATTGTATTCGTCGATAATAGCCGTGAATTCGGTGTCCAATCGATGACACCGTTGTCTGGAGTGAGAGGTGGTGTCCGCGCACTCACACGAAGACACGAACCGACGGACAGATCGCCGATAGTCTTCAAAGAGTGTCAAAAACTTGTCCAAAACGAGTGTCAACTTCAAGATCGTTGTAGAATTGTGACCAAAAAATAAGTTACAATTTTAATTAAATGCATAACTATTTCGCTAATTAATAATAAGTCGATTTCGTTCTCAAAGTATTTCCATATAGTCTTTGAGATATTGATCGTTGAGATGATAATTAGACAAATACTTATCAACTATAAATAAATTGATACAAATGTCAAAATTTTATACAAAAGTTTAAAATGTGTACCAAATGTGAGATATTCCTCCATTGATAGGGAATTTGTGGTAATTTATGACCGGATTTGCGGATAACGTGTATATCGTATGGAAGTAATGATAATAAGACAATGAGTGGAAACACCGGTAATAATGATTGTGTAAAACAATCGCTTAATACAGGGGTTTCTGAATCCCAACTCTCACTCGAGTTCTGCAATAAATTCAATATTTAGTGTTAGAATAAATATATTTTAATTTATTTCGATTATTTGAATATTAAATAGACAATTGTTAAAAAATGTAAAAAATTATATAAAAATCATTTTAACATAAATTATTCCAAAATATTGTATCAATATAATAAAAATAGTATTAAAAGTTTGAATATAAAAACAATAAGTTATTTTAAATTATGTCATATAAAGTACATTAATATAATACTGAATATATTAATGATTAATCCATAGTAACAGTAAGCTAAGTCTCAAGCATATATCAAGTAACAAAAAACTATTAAATAACTAAAATGACTATTAAATATGAAATTATAATTTGTTTAAATATTTGCTAATATTTACATTATTTGCAAGTATTATACTTCTAAATAATTCTATAACTTACCCAAAGTGGTGAATTACAAAATGCCACGTCCTTGGTCATTTTCCAATAGTTTATATAATTATATTTCTTTTATACGTAAAAATATATTCCTTTTAAATATTAAATATCAATTTTTTTGTTTTGAATATAATTCAACACTTAATGAAATGTGAATGCATTTTGTTATTTATTCATAAAAATTGAATTTAATTTTATAAAATATTTCTTTTTATACTTATAAAAACTTATGATAAAACTTAAAAATTACGCAAAGCGTGAAATGTTTAACTAGAAATCACGTTATCAGCAGAAGGTAAGTTAATAACATCTCATAGATATAGATTATACATGCAAACCATGATCAAAATTTATAATAACTTAAATCATTGAAGTTAAGTGTAACTAAAGATTAGTTATCCAAAGGATATATCATTTCGGTCACACAATTGAGACTCAATATCTACTTAATACAATTTATACAGTGATCCCTACCCTAAGCAACACACTAGCTAGAAAATATCAACCAGAACAATTAATAAAACAAATTGTGCACATGCCCTAATGATTGCCTAACAAATAAAATCAATGAATTGTTATGCAATGCATACAAAAGTACATCACATGTCTCTGCGATAGAGTCTGTGTAAACATGTATGACATGAATGGGACTCCCATTTGTGGGAGCTTTCATATAATCAAAAGCCAACCCCTATATAACCGAAAGTGAATGAATTTAATATGCGATAAACTGGTTGTGACTTTAGTTTGGCACCCGTCGAGCTACAGGTGCTCTCCTAATCAAGTAGTACTCGATTACAAGTAGTTAATGATATGTCACAAAAACTGCAAAACGTTTCTAAACGTATTGATAAATAAATAAAAATACTATTTTTAAATAAATATATTGACATAAGAGTGGAGACAGAGTGAGTGTTGCACCACTTCTCTGACATAACACGAGAGAGAGAGAGAGAGAGAGAGAGAGAGAGAGAGAGACTGCTCACACGCTTTACACGTGTTTAAATTGAATTAAAGGCGAGAAAAACACAAACAAATTGACAGAATATTTCACTAGAAAACAGAAAACTGTTTATTAGAGAAAACAATTTGTAATATTGTTTGAGATATATTTGAGAATCAGGTCTATGTTTGTGTCAATATTTTCTTATCGTTTTCATAACGTTTTGAAAATAAAATCGATTTATACTTGCGATATATTTGCAGTAAATTTTAAGGAAAATTAATAAATTAATACTTAAATAAAATATTTATCATTAAAAATATTATATCATTTAATTAAAGTTAAATAATAAAACATACGGTAAACTTATTAATCAACAATTTATTGTATAATTTAAATACAAAAGTGTAAATGAAATACTAATTAAATCTAAATTAGATTATCTAATGTACAAAACTTTGCAGTAAATAGTTTTACTAATTAATTGAAATTTTAATTTACAATTTAAATAGAAATTTTCATAGAAAACTGATATCGTATGTAAATTAACAAACAAATAAAATAAATTATAAATAAAATTAATATTCACCACAAAAAATGGTTTATTTCTTGTATTTCTTGAAGAGTTCTGAGATCTTTTTGGTCGAATCGGTGGCCAATCGGATGGGCTCTCGAGGACTGTTCAGACCTCCCAATCGTCTACTTGTCATCGCAAACATACTATTCCCTAAAAACAACACAAAAATATTTATAAATAAAACAATTAAATTAATGTAAAATTAATGTNTTAGCTAAGTTATTATGAATTTTGATCATGGTTTGCATGTATTTATGAGATGTTATTAACTTACCTTCTGCTGATAACGTGATTTCTAGTTAAATATTTCACGCTTTGCGTAATTTTTAAGTGTTATCATAAGTTTTTATAAGTATAAAAAGAAATATTTTATAAAATTTAATTCAATTTTTATGAATAAATAACAAAATGCATTCACATTTCATTAAGTGTTGAATTATATCCAAAACAAAAAAATTGATATTTAATATTTAAAAGCAATATATTTTTACGTATAAAAGAAATATAATTATATTAACGATTGGAAAATGACCAAGGACGTGGCATTTTGTAATTCACCACTTTGGGTAAGCTATAGAATTATTTAAAAGTATAATACTTGCAAATAATGTAAATATTGGCAAATATTTAAACAAATTATAATTTCATATTTAATAGTCATTTTAGTTATTTAATAGTTTTTTGTTACTTGATATATGCTTGAGACTTAGCTTACTGTTACTATGGATTAATCATTAATATATTCAGTATTATAAATGTACTTTATATGACATAATTTAAAATAACTTATTGTATTTTATATCCAAACTTTTAATATTATTTTTATTATATTGATACAATATTTTAAAATAATTTATTTTAAAATGATTTTTATATAATTTTTTACACTTTTTAACAATTGTTTATTTAATATTCAAATAATCGAAATAAATTAAAATATAATTATTCTAACAATAAATATTGAATTTATTGCAGAACTCGAGTGAGAGTTGGGATTCAGAAACCCCTGTATTAAGCGATTGTTTTACTCAATCATTATTACCGGTGTTTCCACTCATTGTCTTATTATCATTACTTCCATACGATATACACGTTATCCTCAAATCCGGTCATAAATTACCACAAATTCCCTATCAATGGAGTAATATCTCACATTTGGTACACATTTTAAACTTTTGTATAAAATTTTGACATTTGTATCAATTTATTTATAGTTGATAAGTATTTGTCTAATTCTCATCTCAACGATCAATATCTCAAAGACTATATGGAAATACTTTGAGAACGAAATCGACTTATTATTAATTAGCGAAATAGTTATGCATTTAATTAAAATTGTAACTTATTTTTTGGTCACAATTCTTGTGATACAATTCCGTCGGTTGGGTTACCGGCACTCGTGTTCACTACCCATCCAATGGTTGGCCAGTCTGTGCGTCGCTATCATTAATTTGTACCAAATAATAGTCATTTACGACAAGAATATTCCGGTTCTCGAAACAACATTAAACACATTAGAAGTGATTCTCACATTTGTAGCGCTGATTATATCGTGTTTAGCGCCAAAGTTGTCGCAGTTTTCATACTTAGACTCCGATAGTCAGCAAAAGTGTCCGATGAATGACTTTAACGTGTTTTCAAAGATATTTGTTATTTGGTTGAAAGACATACTAAAGATTGGCTACAAATCCAACGCTGATTTAATGCAATATTTGCTACCGATTTGTCACAACTTGAAGGCTAGCAATGCTTTTGAAACATTTGAAAAGGCAAACAACAAATATAATACAAACCCTAATTCAGACAAAGAGATACAATTATTACCATTGATTTGGTTGACCGGTCGGAGTCACTTTATATTGGGCGCTTTATTGGAGCTAGGTCATTTGGCCGCTATGTTTATTCAGCCCTATATTCTGGCCAAACTGATAGACTTTGTGTCCGAAAGGGACCACTTATGGCACGGATTGGTGTACGCGAGCGGCTATTGTCTCTTCAATATAATCGCCTGTCTCTTCGACTGTCACTGTTATCTCTTCGTATTACTGGCCTATTATAGGGTACAGTCGGCCCTCACGACCGCCATATTTGGCAAAATGCTTCGCCTGAGCGCCGGCTCTCGACGCAAATATACGACCGGTAATTATAAGACCCAAAATGTGTTTAATTAATATTCAATAATCTGTTTGTTTAAATGAAAGGCGAGATAAACAACTTAATGGGTGTAGACATCGGCGAGATCTGCGACTTCTTCCGGTCGATGGTTAACTTGATGTCAATACCCATAAGCCTTGTTGTGGGCCAATACATACTGTGGCAACAGTTGGGCCCGTCATCGTTGACCATATTCGCGGTGATGGCGGTTGTGTTGCCGATGACCACTCTGGCCATGCGTCGAGTGGACACACTTCAGACACAGCAAATGTCGCTCAAAGACAAACGCATGAAACAGATCAGCGAAGTGTTGAATAATATAAAACTGTTGAAACTGTTTGGATGGGAGGAGCCGTTCATCGATCGGGTCTCAGAGACCCGACGCCAAGAGTTGGATAAATTGAAAATTACAAACTACTTGTGGTCAGTGATTGACGTGCTATGGATTGTCGTGCCGTATATCACATCTTTCGCTACGTTCACCGTATACTCACTCACATCCGGACAGCCCTTTACCGCCAAAACGGCTTTTGTATCGCTATTTGTATTCAATCTGTTGAGGGCTCCGATGGGAAGGTTTGTATTGTTTGATGTGATAAATGATTACTTATTTAATGACTATAATAATTATTATATGATTTCCCGTTTGAAGACTTCCCAACGCATTGACTTCACTAAACCGGGCGCTCGTGTCGTTCAGACGGATCCGCTCTTTCCTGAGTTGCGAAGAATTGGATCAAAGTTTAGGAACCGATAAACCGTGTGATGAGAGAAGTGCTGTCACTTTGAAAAAGTGCTCATTTTCTTGGGAGTTAGAAGAAGAGCACATTCTTAAGGATATATCACTGAATGTAAGGAAAGGTTCGTTCGTTGCGATCGTCGGAAGAGTCGGTTCGGGAAAGTCGTCGTTATTTTCAGCACTTATGGGAGATATGTATCGAAGAGCGGGTGAGAGGAGTGTATTGAACGGTTCCGTGTCTTATGTGCCGCAAACCGCTTGGATTCAAAACGTGACGTTAAGGCAAAATATTGTGTTTGTATCGGACTATGAGAGCGATAAATATGAGAGAGTAGTGAAAGCCTGTGCTCTCGAAACAGATTTCAATTTACTTCCGGCAAAAGATATGACAGAAATCGGCGAAAAGGGAATCAATTTGAGCGGCGGTCAGAAACATAGGGTTAGTTTAGCCCGAGCTGTGTATCAGGACTCAGACATCTATCTATTGGACGACCCGTTGGCTGCAGTGGACGCACACGTCGGACAACATCTCTTTCAACAAGTGATTGGACCGAAAGGACTGCTGAGGAAGAAGACCCGCATTTTGGCCACACATCACATCTCATTTCTCAAAGACGCGGATCAGATACTAGTGATGAAAGACGGAAAGATTGTCGATTCGGGCGGTTATGAAGAGTTGTCTGAGAGGGGAATGCTTTCGGAGGAGGTGTTGAATGAATCGGACGACATGTCTATTGGAAGTGGAGATAAGATGTCTCGACAGACGTCTCACATGAGTGGCAACGAATCAATCGGTCAGTTGTCGAGACAAATATCATTGAGAGAAGACATGAACGAAGAGAAGAAAATGACACAAACAGAGAAGACTATGAAAGAGGGGGAGAAACTGATTGATGAAGAGAGTCAAGAGTACGGATCAATTAATTTCAACGTTTACTTGGATTACTTGAAATATATACCACTTTTCTTTACACTAACGCCACTCTTGTGTGCGTTTCTCAACAATATCTGCGAAATCGGTGCCAATTATTGGCTAAACATATGGACATCGCGTAACTCTACGCGAGGCGAAGAGACGTCGGACCGGAACCTCTTTCTGGCCATATATGGGTCGGCCATTGGTTTGGACGCCGTGTTTGTGTTGGCCCTACAGTTGGCGATGAGAACCGGCGCCACAATAGCCTCGCGATCGTTGCACAGAGATATGTTGTGTCGCATACTTCGCACACCGATGTCCTTCTTCGACACCACGCCTTTGGGTCGGATTATCAACCGATTCAACCGAGACATGAGCACAGTTGACGAGAATATACCATGGTGCATAATCGAGTCGTTCCACAATCTCATCTATTCAATATTAGTCGTGTCCGTCATTATCTACACCAATCCCTATATGGCTGTTCTCACGCTAATTGTCTTCGTTTTGTTTGTCATACTTTACGTAAGAATAATTGATTTTACATTTAATTTGTTGATATATTTTACAAACAAATTGTTTTGCACTTCAATGCACTCATTAGAGGATCTATTTGTGGACATCGAGACAACTGAATCGTCTAAAATCCATCACTCGATCGCCCATTTATAGCCATTATAACGAGTGCATCGGCGGCGCCGACTCTATACGTGTCTATAAAGTGCAGCAATTGTTTACCGAAAAGTTGCAAAATTTTGTCGACATTCATATCAATGTCCAAAAACACAACTACACGGCCGTCATGTGGTCAGTAGTCGTAGACATCAGTGAACTTCACTTAATCTAATACACAATCTCTTAATCTAATGTGGATTTAGGATTGATATCTGGACCGTAATCGTGGGTCTATTGATCACATTCTCGACTGCACTGATAGTGGTGTTCGAGAGGAATAGCATGACACCAGGTGTGGCCGGTTTTATACTCGTCTATTCGGTTGATGTCATTAACAGTATTTCATGGGCTCTGAGAATGGCATCAGATCTCGAGACTAATATGGTATCCGTGGAAAGGGTTAGGGAGTACTCGGAGTTGGAGACAGAGAAGAGTTGGCATTCAGCCGATGAATACAAACCATCCGCCGATTGGCCGACCAATGGTTCCGTTGATTTTATCAATTATAGCGCTTCTTATAGACCAGGACTCGAACCTGTGGTCAAAGGTTTGAATTTAAGGATAGAGTCGGGAGAGAAGGTGGGAATAGTTGGCCGAACCGGTGCCGGAAAGTCGTCCATGACTTTGGCGTTGTTTCGTATAATTGAGCCAACATTTGGTCAGATAATCATTGATGGCGTGGATGTGACTCGTATTGGTTTACACGACTTGCGATCGAAGTTAACAATTATACCACAAGAACCCAATCTCTTCGCCGGAACCCTAAGACTCAATTTAGATCCGTTTGAAGAATATTCTGACCAACAGTTGTGGACAGCACTGGAAAGGGCGCACTTAAAGGTAAGATTACATAAACTAATTTATTTTCATAATAATATTTGATTATTATTATTAGGACTTCATATGCGGCACATCTGAAGGGCTGTCGCATGAGATCAGTGAAGGCGGTGACAATTTGAGTGCAGGTCAGAGACAATTGGTTTGTTTGGCGAGAGCTCTGTTGAGGGACACGAAGATCCTGGTGCTCGACGAGGCGACCGCTGCCTGCGATTTGCAAACCGATTCATTAATTCAGACAACAATTGCTGAACAGTTCAGTGACTGCACTGTTCTGACAATCGCTCACCGATTGAATACAGTCTTGGATTACAATAAGATTATTGTTTTAGACAACGGAATGATTGTCGAAATGGATTCGCCGAAAAGATTACTCAAAAAAACTGATTCTCTTTTCTATAGTTTAGCGAAAGAATTCGGAATCGTTTGATGTTTTAATTTTTATTAACTATATTTATAAAAATATTTTTATAACTAAATTATACCACACGTAAAATAAGTAAAATTATTTTGATTATTTATAACATTGTATCAACATTTATGAACAAAATTAAATTTACGATTTCCTATTTAAACCCAATTTATTTTATTATACTATCCATTGAATTAAATTACGATTGCAATTTGCAAACATAAGTGTAAAATTATTGTTACCCCTCAATGCCAATGTTATGTTCAATTGTATAATAAGCACTATAATAACATAATAAATATAATTTATATCACAATATTTTTATGCAGTAATTTAGATATTATAACGTCATAAAGTACATTATTACAAAATGTTTATTAAAACAAATAATATTATAAAACATTATACTACATGTATATTGTGAGAGGGTTGCGTGGACTCAATAACAAAATGTTAAGTGGTTTATACTGATAGTTGTAATTATATCGAGATAAAAATGTTATTTGCGTTAGACTTTTAATAATAGCGATAACAATAAGGAATATTCTGTGTTTGCCATAAATATAGCGCTCATAATAAAAGTGCCCTAAAAGTAGACACAGCATACAAGTGAGTCAACTGCCATTATTCCCACACTCACCATTTACACACGTAATCTATGCGCATAAAAGTAACCATGTGTGTTTGTTTATTAAATTGACAATACAGTAGTGTTGTAAACATAGATGGATCAGTTGTCTTGAAGTGTATGCAATAGTGCCCACAAGTGGTGCAATAGTTATCGTTTGACATACGTTTGGCTGTAGTCTAAGCGGTACACGATTTCTGAACGTCTTGTAAAAAATATATTTAGTTTTCGGTCACATAATGATTGACACTTCATTTCACTGTAACACCGGTTGTCATGCAATCATATTAAGACATTGCATAATAAATCACTGCTTAATTACTGCTTAATTATTGTATTCATTTCTATGGCATTGAATGCTATCATAAATATTGAAATTTTTTGTTTATAAAGTTTACCGAAAATATTTTTTGTCATATTTTTAGCTTACTTTCAGACTCATTATGAGACAAATGAATTGATAAAATCTATAGTGATTTGTGACTTTTTGATCACTACTTGTACACAATGATAAGTGTATTATTTGCAGTTACTTTATATGAACTTATATAATGTACAAGTTTTTATAATTTTACTATATTTGTGTTTTAGACAACGATTTGTTAACATTCAATACACTATTTATATTTCATAAGTTATTTTATTATTTGTATTTTATTTGACTTATTATATTTAACTAAAAAAAACAATTATTATTTTTACAATGAATATTCAATGAATAGTTTTTATTAAAATTTTATTTTTACAATTTTAATTATTTAACTATTTTTGTAATTGTTATACATTATAAAATTTTTACAAATTAAATAATTTTTGTCACAAAAATGTATGAAAATATATCGTGGTTGTTTTGCGATTCGCCACTCTGGGTAAGTTATTTAATTAGATTACTTAACTTTATTGTTTTAAATATTTAGATTTTATTAATAAAAAAACAAGTATTTATATAAATGTTATGGAATATAATAATTTTGAACTCAATAAATTTTAATAATTTATTTTTATTATTAGTCTAAATTTTTTATATACTTAAATTTCAATATAAAAAGCATAAAACTTACTTTAAATGATGTTCTAAAACATTGAATTTATTGCAGAACTCGAGTGAGAGCTGGGATTCAGAAACCCCTGTATTAAGCGATTGTTTTACACAATCATTATTACCGGTGTTTCCACTCATTGTCTTATTATCATTACTTCCATACGATATACACGTTATCCGCAAATCCGGTCACAAATTACCACAAATTCCCTATCAATGGAGGAATATCTCACATTTGGTACACATTTATAAATTAAAAAATTACTATTAATTAATCAATGAAACTTTATTATTTTTCAGTTAACAGTGATTTCGCTTAAAATAATTTTAGTAATAAATTCCTCAAAGCTTTTGTGGAAACTTTTTAATAATGAAATCCATTTATTAGTATTGAGCGAAATATTCTCGCATTCAATCAAATTTATAAATTATTTGGTGATAACAGCGCTTATATTTATATTCCGTCGGTTTGGTTACCGGCACTCGTGTTCACTACCCGTCCAATGGTTGGCCAATCTGTTGTCTGTTTCCATCAATTTGTATCAATATCTGCAAAGAAATACTAGAAATGACAGCCTTTTGGACACTGTATTGATTAGCTTTGAATTATATCTCACAATACAAGCGCTAATCATATCGTGTTTATCGACCAAACTCTCCGACTTTGAGTCGTTAGACGCCGACAGTCGACCCAAATGTCCAATGAATGACTACAACATCTTCTCCAAGATATTCATCGTATGGATCAAAACAATCCTGAAATACGGCTACAAAATCAACACCGATTTAACGCAATATTTGCTCCCGATTTGCGATTATCTCAAGTCGAAGAATGCTTACCACGTGTTTGAAAAGGCGGACAAGAAGTACAACACAAACAAATCGGCAAAAGAGATACGATTATTACCATTGCTTTGGACGACAGCGTGGGTTCCGTATGCGGTGTCCGCTGTCACCGAATTGGGCACTATTTGCGCTAATTTTGTTCAGCCCTACATATTGTCCAAACTGTTGGACTTCATGTCCGCACCGGAGGACCATCTGTGGCACGGAGTCTACTATGCGATCATTTACTGTCTCTTTAATCTAATCGCCCGTCTCTTTGACGCGCATTCGTATCTCTTCTTAAGTCTGGGCTATTATAGGGTTCAGTCGGCGCTCACAACAGCTCTTTATAAGAAAATGTTTAAACTCAGCGCCAGTTCCCGACGCGAGTACACCACAGGTAATGCAAACTATAATAATCACATAAATTGTGGTGAATTTGTATTTTTAAATTAGCATTTTTACCTAAACTACAGGCGATATAAACAACATAATGGGTGTGGATGTGGGAGAAGTGACCAGTTTTTTGCACACAATGACATCGTTGTATTCAATACCGACGAGTCTCGCGATCGGAATCTACATTCTGTGGCAACAATTGGGTCCGTCGTCGCTGACAATGATCGCAGTGATGGCAGTGGTCGGCCCCTTCACCACGTTTATCATGAAACGCATCGATGTCTTCCAAACACAGCAAATGGAGTTAAAGGATAAGCGTATGGAACAGATCAGCGAAGTCTTGAATAACGTGAAACTCCTGAAACTGTTTGGTTGGGAGAAGCCGTTCATCGATTGCATCAGCGAAACCCGGAAACAAGAGTTGCATCGCTTGAGTCTCACAAACAACTACTGGTCTGTAATGGAAATCGTGTGGACGACTGTACCCATGATTATCGCCGGTTTGACATTCGCCACATTCACTCTCACATCTGGTCTACCATTTACTGCCAAAACAGCTTTTGTGTCTTTGTCTGTGTTTAGTCTATTGAGAGCACCGATGGCCAGGTATGGCTCAAACGGAGACTTTATTCAATTATAATAATTGCAATCTTTTGAAAATTATTTAATTACTTCAAAATTACATTAATTCTCATAGACTTCCAAATTGTTTAACTCATATGACGAGAGCTCTCGTGTCGTTCAGAAGAATCAGAAAATATCTGAGTTGTGAAGAATTGGATTCAAGTCTAGGAAGCGATGAGACAATGAGTGGAAGACGTGATAAATTACGTGACGATAGATATGCGGCTTCTTTGATGAACTGCTCGTTTGGTTGGAATTTAGAAGAAGAGCCCATTCTTAAGGAGATTTCAATTAACATCAAAAAGGGGTCGTTTGTAGCGATCGTCGGAAGAGTCGGTTCGGGAAAGTCGTCGTTATTTTCTGCACTTATGGGAGATATGTATCGAAGAGCGGGTGAGAGGAATGTATTGAACGGTTCCGTGTCTTATGTGCCACAAAGCGCTTGGATTCAGAACTTGACGTTAAGACAAAACATAGTGTTTGTGTCGGACTATGAGAGCGATAAATACGAGAGAGTAGTGAAAGCCTGTGCTCTCGAAACGGATTTCAATTTACTTCCGGCAAAAGATATGACAGAAATCGGCGAAAAGGGAATCAATTTGAGTGGCGGTCAGATGACTATGAGAGCGATAAATACGAGAGAGTAGTGAAAGCCTGTGCTCTCGAAACGGATTTCAATTTACTTCCGGCAAAAGATATGACAGAAATCGGCGAAAAGGGAATCAATTTGAGTGGCGGTCAGAAACATAGGGTTAGTTTAGCCCGAGCTGTGTATCAGGACTCAGACATCTATCTATTGGACGACCCGTTGGCTGCAGTGGACGCACACGTCGGACAACATCTCTTCCAAGAAGTGATTGGACCGAAAGGACTGCTGAAGAAGAAGACCCGCATTTTGGCCACACATCACATCTCATTCCTCAAAGACGCGGATCAGATACTAGTGATGAAAGACGGAAAAATTGTCGATTCGGGCGGTTATGAAGAGTTGTCCGAAAGGGGAATGCTTTCGGAAGAGGTGTTGAATGAATCCGATAATAAGTCCATCGGAAGTGAAGATAAGATGTCTCGACAAACATCTCACATGAGTGGCAACGAATCAATCGGTCAGTTGTCGAGACAAATATCGCGACAAATGTCGAGACAAACCTCAAGACTTCTATCACCGCAACTCTCCATTAGAAGTGATTCAACGGAACCAAAGGCTGAAACACTAAAGGAAAGGCTGGAAAGAGAGGCCGAAAGCGATCAACTTATTGATGAAGAGAGCCAACAATTTGGATCAATTAAATACACTGTTTATTTAGATTACTTGAAACGCATTCCTCTGCTCTTTGTAGTCATACCACTCTTGTGTGCCTTTATGTTCAATATGTGTGAAGTCGGCGCCAATTATTGGCTCAATATATGGACCACAAAGAACTCAAACACCACCGCAGAGGAGGAGAAGACAAACCGAAACGAATTCCTCATTATATATCTGTCGGCCATTCTATTGGACGCCATTTTTGTGCTCGTAATGCAAGTAATCATGAGATACGGGGCGCTGAAGGCGTCGGAAGTGATGCACAAAGACATGTTGTATTGCATTCTGCGGACACCGCTCTCATTCTTCGACACCACGCCTTTGGGTCGGATTATCAATCGATTCAATCGTGACTTTGCGAAGATTGACGAAGAGATACCATTCTGTATGACTGAATCGGTGATGACATTCATCTGGTTTGTGCTCATTCTGGGTGTTATTGTCTACACCAACGCATATATGGCTATACTTATACTCATTGTCTCCGTTTTGTTTGTCTTTCTATACGTATGTCTTGTAATTATAAGTAATAGATTTTAACCCAATTATAATGATCTTCTGTTTTGTCAGCGCATCTATTTGTGGACATCTCGACAATTGACTCGTTTGGAAGCGATCACCAAATCTCCCATTTATAGCCACTTCAACGAAAGCATTTCGGGCGCCGTTTCTATTCGCGTATATAATGTTCAGCAAATGTTTACTGAAAAGTTGCAAAACTTTATTGACATCAATACCAACATTGAAAGACATCAGTATTCAACGCAGATGTGGTCAGTGTTTTGTCAACTCATTTAAAGTTACATTTTTAACTTAAATGAAATATTGATTGTCTAAACAGGATTGACATCTGGACCTCAATCTTCGGCCAATTGATCACATTATCGACGGCACTGTTTGTTGTGCTCCAGAGGGGTGTCATTAGCCCGGGTTTGGCCGGCTTTGTGCTCATCTATTCGGTTGATGTCATTAACAGTATTTCATGGGCTCTAAAAAATACTGCAGATCTCGAGACGGAAATGGTTTGCGTGGAAAGGGTTAGGGAGTACTCGGAGTTGGACTCAGAGAAGAGTTGGCAGTCGAGCGATGCGTACAAACCATCCGCCGATTGGCCGACCAGTTCTTCAATTGATTTTATCAATTATAGCGCTTCTTATAGACCAGGACTCGAACCTGTGCTCAAAGAACTGAACTTTAGGATAGAGTCGGGAGAGAAGGTGGGAATAGTTGGCCGAACCGGTGCCGGAAAGTCGTCCATTACGTTGGCTTTGTTTCGCATAATTGAGCCAACATTTGGTCAGATAATGATCGATGGCGTGGATGTGACTCGTATTGGTTTACATGACTTGCGATCGAAGTTAACAATTATACCACAAGAACCCAATCTCTTCGCCGGAACCCTAAGACTCAATTTGGATCCGTTTGAAGAATATTCTGACCAACAGTTGTGGACAGCACTGGAAAGGGCGCACTTGAAGGTAAAGTTACTTGTTTTAATGAAATAATTAAATGACATTAATCTTAAAGGACTACATCTCGAGTACATCGGATGGTCTGTCGCATGAGATCAGTGAAGGCGGTGACAATTTGAGTGCAGGTCAGAGACAATTGGTTTGTTTGGCGAGAGCTCTGTTGAGGGACACGAAGATCCTGGTGCTCGACGAGGCGACCGCTGCCTGCG